CCTTGTTTCTTAAAGGTATTATGTTGGGATCCCCAGTGTATAGTTTTAGTCGATGTTTTCTTCTGTTATCTGCTGTGGTATGTTTGAAGTTTCATTAATTCGAGTATATTTATGTAAGTATGTGTATAGCCCATGAAATGCTGAGAATGTGTGGTTAGGAAACGTTCAGTGGAACTAAGTCTGCTGTCTCTTCAGAGCACAGCCCAAGAGCAGCCCTCCAGCGATGTCTAACTGAGAGTGTGCCTGGCTCTCAGCAGGTTCTCTCCCATGGCTGGGCGGAGTTCAGGATCTGCATTTCTTTATGGATCCAGCCCCGTGCTGTTGGAATTGTCCAGTCCCTCTTTTGCAGCTGCCCCATTCCCCAGCTCGCTGTTGCATTGTGAAAAAGTGAGCTTTGCCAGTGTGTCCGAGGCAGTAGCTCGCTACCAGTCTGTACCTACAGCTTCAGCCTTTAACAGCAAAGGATCGAGCGAGTGAGTGCTTCCAAACTCGGAGAGAACAAGCCTGCGGGAGCATCAGCTCAATGCAAACTGAGGGTCAGTGAAATATGGTGAGGCTCAAAAAGTCCTGCATTCTCTCTGTGCAGTGAGCACACTGATGGTGTATCTGCTAATGTGATTGCTCAGCTTGTATAGACTTGTAACAAAATGTGTGTGTGTTGCAGCCCGCTTTTCTCAGTTGGGGCATGGTGTGGCTTTGGAAATAGTTGGTGAGCTTCTGTTTTATTCATGGTGACTGGTTCGCCTCAGATCACCGCGCTCTCTAGGTGGTCCCCTCTCACATTAAAGCGTGCACTTTACACAATGCACCAACCCCAACCACTGAGCCATGGTGGAACTGACCTGCAATGCCACTTTCAGACTGGGACTTCCCACAGCCCAGGGCTATAGGTAGGGTGTTCAAACTGTTGCGGGGGTGGTGGGGTGGGGTGGTGTGGTGTGCTTTTCAGGCTGTTGGGGGTGGTGTGGGGTTTGGGAATGAAAGCTCACACCATTCAACTTTGACGTTCAACCCAGCCCTAATGTCAGCAGGACAACTTTTTGAGATGAGTGTGAGAGTGAAACTGCCATTTTTCTGACTGTTTTATTAAACCCAGCACAATGTTAAATTACTGGAAACAAAAATTGCTGGAGATCACAACAGGTCAGCCAGCATCCAAGGAGAGAGAATCAAGCTAATGGTTCAAGAATAGACGACTCTTCATCAGAGAGTTCTAAATTAGACAGGTTGTCTGCCAGTTCTGAGGAAGGGTCACTAAACCCGAAACGTTAACTCTGATTTCTCTCCACAGACGCTGCCAGACCCGCTGAGCTTTTCCAGCCATTTCTGCTTTTGTTGTTGTCTGCCTTTAATCAACGAAACTGGATATTACAGTTGAAGATTTATTTTTGTTATGTAGGTCAGATCTTTACACTCATTTTTAACCGGCTTTGCATTATCCTGTATCCCATTGGCAGGGTCTCTTACACACCATTTGTATAGCAGCATTTTGCTGTCAGCAGAGTTGGCCTTCTGATTCCTTACCAGTTGATTTGCTCCTTGCCACAGTGACCTACTCGTCAGGGCTGGCTCAACTGGCATAATTCTTTGTGCATTTTAAGAGTATCCCCTAGTTGGCATTAGCTGGATTGAGGCTGGGGGCAGGAAGATGTTGCTGCTCCTGATTGTTAATCATCAATTTTTTTTCCCAGAAGGCCTGTATTGATGAATGTTGGGCAAGACAAAGGTTGGATTCATCTGGAGGATGTGATTTATTCCTGACCTGTGAAGACTTGCCAGCAAAGAATGGCGCCTTGAGCTTCTGTTGGGTTCATTGGAACTGTGTGTGTGACCTTTTTAAAAATGCATTGTGAAATCTGGAAAACGCAGGAATTTGAAGGTGTTGAAGTGAGACAGTTACTTTGTTGCAGCAATTTTGGTGATCAGTTTAGAAGTCTGACTGCCGATTGAGATGGAATAGTTCCTAACAAGCTGAGTAAACTCAGAGCCGCAGTATTGAATTCAGGGTGTGTAAGTTTAAGCTTCATTCGCGATGGGGTGAATTACATTGGGAGAGAAAACTGTCACTTTTTTTTTCAAATTTTGTCAACGTTTTTGTGGATGAAAAAGAAGGCAGATTATGGGAATGCTAGCACTGAGCAAATAGTTGGTCCTTCTCCACCATCCTACAGCATGCTAATTCCTGCTTGGCATCAAGATCTCAGATCTCAGTTTGGTGATTCAGTTTCTCCCTTCACACTGCGAGAAATCTGCAATGAGGTGAGCTTTGGGAATGGCTGCAAGAATCTGTTTAAATAGAAATTAAACACAGCCAATTTTAGGCAGACTTATTCCCCCTCAGGGCTTTGAAAGGCACAGTCCCAGATTTAAAGAGGGAGAAAATTGTTTAGATGGTCCCTATAAAGTTAACAAGGAAGATTAGCATCTAGATGTCTTCCCAATGCAGTTTATTAACTTAAGCGATTCGCCCAGAACAAATATCAGCTGACCATAATTGGCTAATCTCTCTCGGTCTTCAGACATTAAATGTTTTGAATAGAATCTAATGCTAGCAAGAGAAGAAATATAATGCTAACTGCCTGAATGAGTTGGTGGATTAGATGTCACTTGAATGTAGTTGTAGGATGTACATCACTTGCTTTTTCTGTGTCCTCCTTTCTGATGCAAAAGCAAAATACTGTCAATTATGCAAATCTGAAATAAGGACCCAAAATGCTGGAAAACCTCAGCAATACCCATGGAGAGAAACTGAGACCTTCCCGTTTTGTCCTTTCTGCCACTGTATTCTTGTACTGGCTTGAAAACTCTTCCATTACTGTTTACCAGCAGTTCTGTTGAAAGGTTGTCAAACTGAAATGTTAAACCTGTTTCTTTCCACAGTGAATATTCAGCAATTTCTGTTTTTCACATCCCTGGTCTTAATGTTGCTGTTCATTCACTAGGAGTATGTGACCCTCTGGGATTACTGACCACAGATGGTGACTGATACTTATCGAATACCGATCCAGTGCAAACGTAGAGACTAATGGAGTAAGAAGGTTCCATTGCTTCATAACTCAGCGTAAACTTTAAGAATTATTTAGCCAGTGACAAATTGGTAGTGATACACAATGCTTCCTCTGGACAAATTTCTTCTGAAATAACTTTTAATTGCAGTGCTGATTGTAGGTCATAATAACTCAGTCCTGGGAGGAAAATAGGCTTCCCTTTAACTATTTTGTGAAAATACTGATCCATTACTTCCCTTTTTCTTTTCTAATAAGAACAAAGCAGTCACTGAGAGCATTACTGACCTGTCTTAGACTCGTACAGCCCATACCTAGTGATGGTTGTATGGTAGGTTTAAAGCAATGGCTCCAGTGTCTGTGATAATGATCATTGTAGCGGAGCATGGAGCGATGGTCGTTGGATAGGGATGGTGCTGATATTTGTCTGCCGTGTACCCCGTGTGAATGACGACTGCTGTGTAAATATTTCTCAGACTTGTGTTTTGAACAGTAACATTTTAGAAATTGGCAGGCAGTGAGTAATTCAACAAGAGATAGTGGACAGTGAATAATTGAACTACTGCTCACAAGCCTTTGAAGCGAGTCTGAGCCTGTCTTGATAAGTCTCTCTGCTCTGAGTCTGGCATTTGTGGATAAGAAACTTCTTGAGCTTCTCTTTCCAAATTTACTGCATTCTTTGAGTGTCGCCACCTTGCCTCCTTCTGGGAATTTTGAGAAACAAAGACTAAAAGGAACAAAACATGTCCAGTCAGTTGGATGAACTTCTTGTGATCCCCTGAAAGTTGTTCAGTGCAATAAGGATGTTTGATCAGTAAATGTTCCACGCTTGTTCTGTCATCTGTGATGTGTTGTGATTGTCACAAATAAATATAAAGTGTACTATTGAGCCTGTAATTTAATGTGTGAGGTTTAAATGGGTGTGTACTCACCAAATAGAGGTAATGGTTAAAGGAGTGTAATATAACCTAGGACTCCTGAAGCATTCATATTTTACACAAGTGGTTTTATCTCAAATTCATCAGATTTTCTGAATCCCTTGGGAGATTTTCTGTGGCACATTAATGAACGATCTTGCTCTATTTAAAATAGCACCTTCCTAATACAGAAAAAGATCCTGAAATGGTTAATGAGGTAATGGGAATGTGGTGTAATAGAAGGGAGATGGAAACTAATATATGGCATGGACAGTTTCAGATGTGTGGGTTTGTGGGGGGTCAGAGTGGGGAGGAGAAGTTTGGTCAGTGACGTGGGAGTTAAGGGACTTTCAAAGGTGAAGTGTTTTTGGTGAGAGACAGTGGGATTAACAAGGCTGACAGGATAGGGAGGATGGCAGAAGGCAAGAATTAAAACTGAACACTGAAAGCAGACTGATGAGGTTTGATGAACTCTGATTTTGTGAACTTGTGGACAGACATGAAAACTGGGTTGTGGTTTCAATGTGGGGTAGAATTTGGGCACACATATTGACAAATTGGGCTTCCTGGAGCACAAGAGGTCAGAACTATTGAAGGTAGTAAGTGGGTAGGAACAAAATTAGGAGAACCATTTCGAGAGCATTTCTTAGGGAGCAAATTCTGAAAGTGTTAAGCAAGGCACTTGCATCTATTATGCATATTCACGTGTGTAAGCGGTTTGTCGGAATACTGGCATTATTTGACCAAAATGAGCTTCTAATCCGATCCACACCATCATATGATACTGTTTCCACCTTGGTCTACTCCTGTCTTTGATCTGACTGTAGCTGGCTTCGAGATTCTTCCCACTGTAAATGTGAGGACATGCGAAACTCTGCCTGTGTCACCTCATGCACACCCACCTACAGGGGCTTCCAGTTAAAAAAAATGCCTTGACTTTTATCAATTCTCATCGTAGTTTTCAGCTCTGTCCATGGCCTCACACCTCATGCCTACCTGTTCAGTATTATAGATGTTAATTGCTGCATAATTGGCAGTTGTACCTTTAGTTACCAAGACGCTAAACTCTGTTATTCCACCCTGAACCTCTCTGATTTCTTTATTCTTCTTTGTTCTTAAGACACTCCTTAGAACCTACCTCTTCGGCCAAGATCTTGGTTGTGTGTTCTTGTATTTACTTACATAGTGTCAGGTTTACTTTGCTAACTCTCCTCTGGAGGGCTTTGTGAAAACTCAGTCTGTTAAAGATGCTGTGTAAATACGTGAAAGTAGTGATGATTGAGAAGATTAGGCCTATATTCCTGATAGTTCAGCAGAATGAGAGGTAGTCTCACAGTGGCATAAACATTCAGATGATGCTTGTCTGAATAGATGCTGGGAGGATGTTTCTTCTGCCTGTGGGATGGGTTTGGGAATCTCGAGCGAAAAGTCATGATCAAGGGATCTGCCATTTAGGATTGAGATAAGGGGAAATCCTTCAGTCAGATGGTTGTAAATTTTTGAATTCACTACCTTGGAGAGGTGTGGTTGCTCAATCATTGAGGCAGTGTCATAGAGTCAGAGAGCCGTACAGCATGGAAACACACCTCCAGTCCAACTTGTTCATGCTAACCAGATATCCTAAATTAATCTAGTCCACTTTGCCGGCATTTAGCCCATATCCCGCTAAACTCTTCCTATTCATTTACCCATCCAGATGACTTTTAAATGTTGTAATTGTACCAGCCCCCACCACTTCCTCTGGCAGCTCATTCCTTACACACACCACCCTCTGTGTGAACAAGTTGCCCCTTAGGTCCCTTTTAAATCTTTCCCCACTCACCTTAAACATATGCCCCTCTAGTTTTGCACTCCCCTACCCTGGGGAAAAGACCTTGTCTATTCACCCTATCCATGGCCCTCATGATTTTATATATCTCCAGAAGGTCACCCCTCAGCCTCTGATGCTCCAGGGAAAATAGCCCCAGCCTATTCAGCCTCTCCCTATAGCTCAAACCCTCCAACCCTGGCAACATCCTTGTAAATCCTTTCTGAACCCTTTCAAGTTTCACAACATCTTTCCTATAGCAGGGAGACCAGAATTGCACGCAGTATTCCAATAGTGGCCTAACCAATGTCCTGTACAGCTGCAACATGACCCTCCCAACTCCTATACTCAATGCACTGACCAATAAAGGCAAGTGTAGCAAACAACTTCTTCACTAACTTGTCTACCTGCAACTCCACTTTCAAGAAACTATAAACCTGCACTCCAAGGTCTCTTTGTTCAGCAATCAAATCTTTTTGGATATTAAAGGAATTAAAGGTGGTGGGACTATTGTGGCAGATGATGATATGTTAAGGCTATGGCACTATGGTAATGTCACTGGTCCAGTACTCCAGAACCCCAGGTAAATATTCTGCGGAAATGGGTTTGAATTGTACCATGGTGGATGGTCAAATTTTAATTCAATAAACATCTGGAATAAAAAGCTAGCCTAATGTGACCATGTAACTGCTGCCGATTGTCCTCACAATGCATCTGGTTCACTAATATTTTTTAGGGAAAGAAATCTGCTGTCCTCACATGGTCTGACCTTGCATGTATGGCTCACAGCAATGTGGTTAGGGATTGACAATAAATACTGGGCTAGCTAGCAATGCCAGTTGAACAAATTTTAAAAAAGGCTGATCAGCCACAACTTTACTGAATAACAGACTGGGTAAAATGTTGTACTCCTCCTATTTTTGTGTTCTTCAGGCCTGTCCTAATTTCTACTTTTTTAAATTATTTTTTTAATGGGATGAGGGCATCACTGACTAGGCAGCATTTATTGCCCCATCCCTAATTGCCCAGAGGGCAGCTGAGAGTCAACCACATTGCTGTGGGTCTGGAGTCACATGTAGGCCAGACCAGGTAAGAATGGCAGCTTCCCTCCCTAAAGGGCATTAGTGAACCAGATGGGTTTTTCCTGATAATCGGCATTGGATTCGTGGTCATCATTAGATTCTTAATTCCAGATATTTTATTGAATTCAAATTCACCGTCTGCTGTGGCAGGATTCGAACCCGGAACGCCATCTGGATCTCTGAATTAATGATTTA